GTAGAATCCTTTCAGAGAGTGTTTGGTTACTTATAGTAAATTTAAAAATGAGCATCCCTATGACTCAAGAAACTGCTTCTAACCACACAGCAGACAGCTCACAAAGGCACGTCCGCTGCGGTGTTCGCAACGGTGAAAACGGACGCAGCAGACCGCCCATCCCTGGAGAGAGCAAAAATCAACTGTGGGTACATGTACGACGGAGCATCAGCCTACAGTTACAGTGAACGAGCATGTAAAATTAAATCTACGCGCATTAACATGAAGAAATGTCTGAAACAGCGTCGAGGGATGAGAAGGCAAGTGGTGAAGTGGCTGCCGGCTCCGTGTAAACACACCCACTTGCACAGCCGCAAACCTGCGAGCCGCGCGGCGTGTCCCCGCGCTCGCAGACACAGACATGCTCGGTAACAGCCGACTCCCCGTGTGTGCCACGGAACGGGAATCTCACATCAGGGCGGCCGCGACCACAGGAGGTAAAGAGGCAGAAAGGAGAAGGAGAAGAGAATTCGACAAGGCTTGTATCCGGAAGATTCAGCCACATCTGTAACGTTCTATTTCTCTAAGAAAAAGCTCCAAAGCCAACTACCAATTTACAGGGAAACACGAGTACAGGAACACGCATGTTAGAACAAACGGGCACGCAGTCAGCAAATCCAGACTGGACAGCACCAACGACCCAGACGGTGACAGGGCCGCTGAGAAGCCCCGGTCCCCTGAGGAGACAGACAGCCGAGGAGGAGAACCAATTTCTCCCTCCACCCACAGCTTTCTGTCTGCCAGGCGCCACGACACTCCCTGACGAACCCTCGAACGTCAATCAAATGACCGTGGGGACCGTGCTGGCCAAGTCACAGGAACTCGATTCACAGGTGAAGGTCGCTGTGCTTCTCTGGGGCAGGAAAACAACTTTTCTTTTTTAAGGAAGAATTAAAGGTGTTTAGACCCAGGCCAGGATGCATCTACGATCTCAAGAGCCGCAAAGACATAAAAGGCACCCAAATGGTGCAAGCAGCCGTGGGGAGTAAACTGCAGCCCAGCTGCGGCTGGCGGAGGCTCAGAGACCCGGCGCTGAGTGGAGAGGCCCTGCCACGGCGCGCCGGCGTTCCAGGAGAGAGTCTGGTCCACGTCCCAACCCACGCATGTGACAAGGCAACCCGGACACG